TCAAGCCACTGAGCAAACTATCCAAGGAGGGGGTAGGGGAGGTGGAGGAGGCTGGGGAAGAGACCAATTTCATTATGATGGGCCTGGTGACAATAACCTTTTGTCCTCTAAACAATCTGGCCCTGCCAAGCTGCTCCACAGTCTCAAGAAAGCATTAGGGCAAGAGAGAAAGAATTCTGTCAGGAGGCAACAGACTCATCTTTAATTACGAGACAAGGCTTCCCAGAGCTGACATCCTCTCCCACACTTCCTCCCTGCTGCAAACACACCACGCAATGCTGGCGTGATGCTCCCCTAATGAGTGCAGTCAATTTTCCTAAGCAGAGGAAGCTCGCTTCTTAGGGGGATCTTCTCCCACCATCCGGAGGCCCAAATTGTGCCCAGGCTCCTGATGATGAGGGTGAAGCCTCACAGTTTAATGGTCTGCTGGGTCACACTGAGAGCTAGAAAGGCTCACTGCCCCCAGCAGGCTTCATTCCACTCTTTTGTTCCCTAAAGGAGTATCAAGGAGATACCAATCCTAGTGCATAGAGCAACTTTGCTTAAATTTATATCAGAGCTCAGAATGGAGGAATGATGTCTGATCTTACCCTGAGGAGAATGTAACTAACTGGCACTCAGCAGCAGAAAAAGCCCTGAAATAAGAATCAGAAACCTGGGTTCTAGTCCTTATTTTGAAACTTGTGCAGTAGTGTGTACTCGTGCAAACCACTGCATCCATCTCTGGCTCTATTTGCTCAGCTGCAAAATGAAAAGAAGGAAGAAGCACTCTGTAGCTTGCAGGTCAGAGCAGGAGCCAAGAGGGCACACTCTGAGTCTTGCTGCCTGGTTCTCTTCTTATTAGTTATAAAACCCTCAACGGTTTAGCCTCTGAGCTTCAATGTCTTCATCTATAAAACGAACCTACTTCATAGGGCTGTTTTAAGAGTTAAATATGAGGCGTTGGGAAAAGCTTTCATTACAGTGCCTGCTCCTTAGCTTTCCCAATAACTGTCAGTCAGAGCCATTACGAACATGATTAATGGGGGTGGGGTAAAAAAAAAACCCTCCACTACTAGGATTTATTTCAAGGATTAAATAACTTAGAAGTAGGTGGGCCCTTTGTTAGGGTTCCAAGAAGTGAGTTGACAGCCCAAGGCAACTTTGAAGGCAAGAAATATAAAGGAGGGATTAGGTGAGGACTCACTCACATCCTTGAGCAAGACATGTTCCAAATGCTCACCAATCCACCTGCAACTGACTCCAAGAACCAGGTAGTAATTCAAGGCTTTTATGGGAAAAAAACTACAGATCCTCACTTCCCCTTCTCCATAAAATTAATTTTCCAGTCCTTCTCTTCTATAGACAACTAAAAAAGGTAGCTGACCCCATCTTTTTAAGTTCTAAAAAATTCTTGCTCAGTTTGAGGCCTTCTGTCGGAGGGTAACAGTATTTAAAAGAGAAACTCACTAAATCTGGGTGAGAGTTTACACAGGCCCTGGTCTAAACTGTTTTTAAGCTTACCAAGCTCTTCTAACAAAGATATAAAGGGCTTTCCTTCTCCATAAGTTTCGTTTTCAAGTCAAACTAAAGTCAGGTACAAAATGCACAAAGACACACATAAATCTCAGTTAGTAGCCAACCCTGTGAGCCAACAGCCATGTTGGGAATTGCACTGCAAACAAATCAAATCATGTCTGACTGAAGCCATTCTCAATCTTAGCTACTCAATTATTTAGTACCTTCTGTGAAGTTCCACACAATTAAAACCAGCCTGTTCATGGACTGCTTATCTGCACAGGACCATGCTGAGAGAGAAAGAGAGAGAGAGAGAGAGAGAGAGAGAGAGACAGCGACAGAGATAGATAGACAGAGACAGACACAGAGACCAACAGAGACAGATAGACACAGTGAGACAAAGAGAAACATGGAGGTAGGGTGGGGAGGAAGAGAAAATATGTGCATAAAAGTTGGATGTGATTCAGTTCTTGAACTTATCTATATTAAAAATATAAAATAAGGGCAATTTTTAGTCATTTATTAAAGAGAAAGATGTATAAGCCCTTTTAAAAAAAGACTAGAGCTTCAAGAGACTGAAAAAAGCAACATAAAACCATAATCTCCTTGCACAGTTTGAGTGGCACGTTTACAGCCTTTGAAAGCATCTTGCCCATTAAAGGGATGATGCCGACCATCTCCTTAGAAGTGGTTTCCAAACCTAGTAATAATAAGTCGTCCTTCCCTTCCCCTCTGAGTCGACACTAAGAACTTGCAGAACTTTCAACAGGGATGTTCTTCTTATGACAACATCATATGCTGAGAATTATCAGTGGATGCTAACTGCTTATACCTCATTTACCTTCCTGGCACAGAAAGAACAAATAGTCTTGCCTTTAGCTCAACACATCCTCGATACAAGCTCATCATCGCTGCTCTCCTTGTGGACTATCCACGGCAGGGACCAACCCCCACCTCCACCTCCACCCCGTCAATTACACCCCTTTGCTTTCTGCTCATAAACAATTCCTGCTGTCTACTATGTGCCAGGCACAGGACCAGCCATCACTGCTCCTTCAAGGAACTTACAGAACAAATGAGGAGGCCTATTTAAATAGGTAATCGGAGCCATTGATGACTTATTTCTTGTGTTTATTCCTTGGCCTAAGCCATTTTTAAAAACTGTTTTCTGGTTCCCTCCTTCTATTTAGCCTTTGAGACCTCTCATATATATATTTCTGGTAGCTTTTCCCTGGATACCTGAATCTGCTTTCTGGGGTGAGTATCCTTCAAATTTAAGATAGCTTTCCAAAGGCATGGCTTCCATTTAATTCTTCTTTTCAGCAATATAAAAGAGCAACCTACACCTCCCACAGTAAATCAGAACTTTGGCTTCCCTGGTGCCCTGCTAATGTTCCCTCAGTCCAAGCTCAGTGTGTTTCCCATGATCGCTCCTGTTACATTTAGCCGTTTTCTATACTGTCTTTTCAGGTCAGCTCTTAAAAAAAAGAAAAAGAAAAAGAAAAAATATATGTATTTACAACTAATGGATTTGAGCTGGGTGTCAAGGCCCACTCTTTTAGTCCCAAGTATTTAGGAGGCTGAGGTGTGAAGATTACTTACTTGAGCACGTGAGTTTAAGACCAGCCTGAGCGACACAGCATGGACTCCATCAAACAAAAGCCCCCAAACAACTGACAGGTTCTTAAACTTCTTTCCACCTTCCCAAGGGCTATCACACTCAGACCAAGCCCTGACTGTGTTTTTGAATTATACTGACTCTTACCTTCCTTCTTTAATATTTTGCTATCTGAATGCAAGTGGATTTAAAAGAAAACTCAGCCAGGGTTAGAAAAATTACTCCAGAGCCTAAAAACTCAGTTGCAAATGTAGGGAACCTTTTCTGATAAATTCATTCATGTTTAAGAGCAGGAGAAAATATTAGACTCTGTGGCCATATAGACTATTGGGACTACCCAACTGCTGGGCCCACTGTTGTGTGAAGGCAGCCACAGACCACATGTAAATAAGCAGATATAGCTGTATTTTAAAAATAATTATTTATGGTAACAGATGGTGGGAAGAATCTGGCTCTCTCGTCACAGTTTGCCAGCCACATGCTGGAGGTAAAAGAGTGGGGCCAGGTGAGCATTTATGAGTTTGCAGAACACAACCAGAAGTTACTCAGATTTGCATCGTATTTTCTCTGGGTAGCGCTGCTTTTCCTTTATGACAATATGTACCATAGAAGCAGTTCTCGCGTAGAAGTCATCACCATAGGAATCTGGGCCATGACATCTGTTTCACCTATTTTGGTCACTGAAGAAGAGATAATGAAAGCTACTTCTTTGCCTTTGTTGGAGACAAGGAGAGGAAAGAGTAAGCTGTCTCATTCTTCTACTGTCCTCCAGATTGGCAAGAGGCAGACTCATTAGGATCCCAGGGCGTAAGAGTTTACTCTTCACCCACACTTCCACGTGCAAGGCCCTGCTCTGTCATTTTAATCCTCATGCTATCCCTATAATGTGAGTACTTGTCACTATATCTGTTACTCAGATAGAAGAAATACAAGAGTTTTTAGTCAGTGTTAGCCAGTGGTTTACTACAGAAATGGTCTTGGTGTTTAGAGACGTGATTTTCAGAATTATCCATACCATATTCAGAGTTCTTATTTCAGTCTGCATGTAATAACAAAGTTTGCCTTCCATATCCACAGTTTTATTATCTGTGGATGCAATCTGTTATGGATGGAAAATATATGTTGCAAAAGTATCTGTAGTAAGTATGCCCTAGTCTTTTCCCCTGGTATTATTCTTTAGTGATACAGTATAACTATTTACATTAATAATTATAGTGTATTGGGTATTTTAAGTAATTTAGAGATAATTTAAAGTATACAGGAAGGAGGATATGTGTAGGATATATGCAAATACTGTGTTATTTTATATAAGGGATTTGACTGAGCATTTCTAATTTTGGTATATGTGGGGGATCTTGGAACTAATCTCTTACGGATTCTAAATGATGTTGGTGTAACAATCAACTCATTACCTTTAGTCTTTATAATGAATCTTCAAAGGGTAATCTTTATTTTTCCCATTTTATCCACAGAAAAATGGGCCCCAGAGGTCATGTAGTTTAATCCAACTTTCTTCATTTATAAAAAGTCAAACTCAGGATTTAAACCCAAGCCAGTTTGGTTCAATATATCCTTGGCAAATTCCTTTGAAACCCTCCACCACTTTGATAACCCTGACTGAACAACATAAAGTTCAGTGAGTTTTAAAAGGTCCTGAATGACCACTCGATGTACAGTGATGAATTAAGTCAGCTTTATGAGGTCTGGTGTTCTGGATGTGGGCCTCAGAGAAGCAGAGAGACAGACCACTGCCTGGTCTGGAGCAGGAAGAGCAGAAGTGGGCACAGGTCCTTGTCCTTTACTACAAGGACTCTGGCTGCTCTTTTTCATCCCAACAGCATTAAGTGGCTTCCCACGCACACTATGGAAGAAGGCACGTTCTTACCAGCCTGTCATATTGAAGTCCCTGTACAGCATCTTCTTTCCAAGTTCCTTTCTCTGTACTCTCCTTGGAAACTCCAAATGTGTGAATTCATTTCCTAGCAAGTGAGGCTGCATGAATGCCTAATAGCAAAAAGAAGAAGAAGAAGAAAAAAAAAGCCACATACATATTTAGAAGAAAAAAAATAAGACTCAAAGATGTTTTGTAAATCGAGACAGGCCACGGTTCACAAACAAGAAAATCATCTCATTTTTGAGGAAAAGTAGAGGTTTCAGAATTTAAACATCAATAGACAAGCAAAAATCATGCACTTAATTTATAAAGGAATGCTACTTTTTAATTTGATACGAAGACCTATTTGCAGTCAAAGACACTGATAGCTAAAGGCATAAAGAAAAGTGAGGCTGAGCTTCTCTGAAGTTCATTTTTTAACCCAAATCCAGTACGGTTTCTTTCCCGAATGACATGTCAGTGAGACAGAAGATGAGCGGGCTTGCCCTGCCTTTGCTCTCCTCTGCTCACACTGCAGTCAGCTTGGCTGTGCCTTGGGAAGCTGCATGTGAGTGTGCAGTACACACAGGGGTCTGAGGCCGCAGGGTGGGGCTGGATGCAGCAGACAGGAACGTTCTGCTGGACACCCTCCAGTTCGCGCTGCCATCATTTGCTCCTGTCATTGGAAGCCTATTCCAGAGCAGATGGCTTTTTCCCTCCCCCCAGATCTCGGTTCACACTACAAAAGTCTTCAGCGAGCAGCCACTTAAGCGACTGCTTTGAAACAACAAACAGTCTCATTGTTACACTCACAATTCGAATCTAGCTATCCAAGAGATGGAAAGCTCGTGTTTTCATTGCCTCCCTCATAAGCCACACGCAGTCCGCTTACTTGCCCCCAAATGTCCCACCTCAAACCTGACGCTGGCATATCACAGTGTGGTGGAATGGGCCATCTCTCCTTTTTGGCAGGGAAAAGGAGTGGGCAGTCCATCACAGTCTGGCACTGTAGGAAGGCAAAGGCTCCCTGCTATAGGACAGATGGCCACATCCTCAGTTTCCTGCCACGGCTTGAGGATCCCTTATCCAAAATGCTTGGGATCAAAAGTGTTTAGAATTTTCTTTTAGTATTTCCATATACATAATGAGATATCTTGGAGATGGGACCTAAGTTTAAATATGAAATTCATTTATACTTTATAAACATCATGTATACAGAGCCTGAAGGTAATTGGATACAATGTTTTATTGTACCTGTGCTTTAACTATAACTTGTCACATGAGGTCAGGCATGAAATTTTTCAGTTCCAGCATTATGTTACAGCTCAAATAGAATTTGGAGGTGTGCCAGAAGATTCTGGATTTTTGTATTAGGGATGCTCAGTCTGTAAGAGACATCTTTCACAGCCCTTTTCCCACGTCCTGATGCTAGCAGGTCTCCCACTGGTGCCCACTGTAGTCTGGAGGTACTAGTTAGACATTAGTTACCTGACGCTAAGTTTATCAGGACCCAACAGAAATGAGCTGAATTGTTACCAGGTGATTATATTTGGCCAGAGATGTAACTCAAAGGCAGTCATTATGGGCAGGCGTGGAGACAGGGCAGGATGGGATGAGACAAGCTTTGATAGAGAGGCTCTAGACCCTGGGAAGGTGTTACATTTGGGCTGCTGCGGAATATGAAAGAAGCTTAAATACTGGTCTTTACAGAAGTTCTCTGTGGAGGGAAGGAAAAGGAAGCAATACATTATAGCAGAACTCGCCCATCCACATACCAACCAGGCCCAACACTGATTAACTTTTGAGATCAGACAAGATGTGGTGAATTTGGAGCAATATGGTTGTATCAAAAAAGTAAGATGTATTATGTACATGTATCAACTCACCACGGGAAATGTCATCATTATATAATGTAAGCATATACTAATAAAAAACAAATTTAAAAAATGAAAATAAAAGGTATAGGTCAGTGGTGAGAGACAGACTTTGTGTGAGACAGACTTCAGTCTATGCTTAAGTTCTGCATTTATAAACTGCGTGACTTTTGTAGGTATTTTAATTTCTTGGGTCTCAGTTTCTTTATCTGTAAAGTAAGATTAAGTATATATCTCAGATACTATTTTTATAATTAAATGCCTCTAGTGCACTGATTATGGTTATCTTTGCTCATAAAGTAACTACAATATACATTTAATGATTACTGAATCCTATTAGAATCCTATTCACCCTGCGTACTATTCTTAAAGCCTTTTGAGTGCTCATTTCACCCTTCAACAAATTTATGGACAGAAATAGTTAATTTGTAGGGCTCAGTGTAAAACCAAAGTGTGGAGCCTCTATTGAAAATTAAGAATTTCAAAATAGGGACAGCAGTGCATTAAACTAAGCATAAGACCCTTATAACTGTGTAAGTTATACATCCATGAAGCCAGCCATGCTGAAGGATAGATAGTATTTTTTTTTGGTCTTTCTCATTTTTATCGGTACCAGGGATCGAACTCACGACTGCCTGCTTGCAACACAGGCGCTTATGCCGCTGAGCTAAATCCCCAGCCCCAAAGGGTAGATAGTATTTTAGTCCTCTTTTATTTTGGTCCATCAAGGAAAACTAAGGAGCAGAAGTTAAGTGCAATAGTCAACACACCACACAACCTGTCATGTATTCTTTATTCTCTTTCACAACATTGAGACTCTATCAGCATGGAGATTTGGTTCCACCCCACAACTGGACTAATGCTGACTTAGGGGTCACCATGTGCTTTATATGAGGCACTTAATATGTGTCTTCCCTTACTCACCCAACGATGCTACAAAGCCTTAGACTCAACCTACAAACAAGGAAAGTAAATCTCAAAACACACATAAACCCTTTTGGTCTATACCTATATATGATTGTCCATATAATTTCTCTTGTTTCTTTGGCTCTTCATTTTTGAAAGATCCAGTGTCACAAGTAACGTTTTATGTTTTTCTCTTAATTTGTTTTATTAAGGTTACTGGCTATGAACTAGCATAAGTATGCATTTTTCTCTTTCCTACAAGGGTAAAAGTGCAGAGTTCCACGCACTTTGCCTCCAAAAAGGACAAGTGGGCTTTAAAGTGTTGCTTTAACTAGGTAACTCCTATACCCTTCTTTGTTGGTATACATTTGCCTAGGCAGTTGTATCTGAATCTTCTTAAATAAAAAGATCTGTTGAGGCAAATTCTGTACCTGCAGGTTAACTAGCAACTTCTGAGCTGTTCTGATATCCACAGGGGCTGCCTTGTCTCTCCCTCTAAGGATGTACAGGTTAAACTTTGGGTCACTTCTTTCTTGACCTACAAAGCCTTTCACAATCTCAAGACACTACTAGCTTTCTCCTAGGATGACAACTAGGTGCTGTATTTCATTAAAACTAAGACACCATTTATTAGATACACCATTATCTCATTACCCCTAAGCAATGAAAGAAAAGCTATCAATTAAATTGTATATAATACTTTCATAGCCACTGTAAAATTTTATCTATTCTTTTTGGAAGAATGCTTTTAGACAAGGTAAATTTCAATTAGCTATCACTTTTGTGTGTCCTCAGTAAAGGAGATGTAAGTATAGATGCTCTATGACTTACGATAGGGTTATATGTTTGATAAACCCCATCATAAGGTGAAATTGCTATTATTATTCATAACCCAAAAGCTTAGCAACACAGTACACTGTGGAGTGCCCTTCACTTATCCTTGTGATTTCCTGACTAAGAGCTATGGCTTTCTTTTGCTGCCTAGCATTGTGAGAGACTTTCGTAATGCATATCACTAGCTGAGAAGATTGTAATTCAAAATTTTAAGTATGGTTTTTAATGAATGTGCCTTTTACTTTGCATTATCATGAGGTAAAAAAGTTGTAGGTTGGACCTTAAGTCAAGGATAATCTGCAAATTGGCTAAGGTTTTCCAAAACGTTTTCACATTTAGCACTCAACAGCCCTCATCCCTTTTCAGCTCTGAGTCATGATGTTCATGATTTTCCAGTGTCCCATGCTTCTAAGAGCTTTGGTGATACAGCATTTCTTAAATAATCCATGACAGAACTATGCGCCCACAAGCCAGAGGTGTGGAAGTCGTTAAGCCAGGCTGGCAATTATCTGTGGCCAGCTTACTTCTGATTCTCACTTCGGGAATGTGGTTAAACGAGTCTGCTTTGCAACTTACCATTTCCCTCCACAACTAGTTTGATTTCAAAGATGCTTAATAAACATTCTAGTTGCGCCCCCAATTTTTTTCCAAGCTGCGTTCATCCCACAAATTGATATATTGGGGTACAGACGTTTTATGCTAAAATATGGCATGTTATCATTGGAGAAAACAGCAGAAAAAGGAAAGTCTCTTGTGCTTTCTCCTTCCCCTTCTCATCCCAGGAGATCTTAAGACCCTCATTCCAGAGGCACCTTCCAAATACACACAAGGTAACAGTATCCTGAATTCTGAAGACTCCATAACACAAGAGAACCTACACACATACACATTTTGCTACATTCTCCAAGTTTATTTCTTACATCATAACATCATTGTCCAATCATATTACTTCACAAATGTTTATTCTTCATCAATGCTAGGCAAAAAATACACGTTTACATGTTTCTCTGGATAGATCATCATTTTCTTATAAAGACTCTGTTGTCATGTAAACTTTGCGCCACATAAATTTGTATGTTTTTCTTCTGTTAATCTGACTCTTATATGAACCCTGCTAAAACTTTTATAATGGGTAAGGGGAAAAAATCCCTATGTGTTCCCCTCCTATAGATATCAACTCACCTGGTGTTTGTACATGCCCATGTTGTGCCTGCCACTTGGTTGGTAACCATTAATTGTAAAATAGTTCAACTTGGAGGAAAAAAAGTGTCTTAGTTTTGAGGAAATACTGATACTGATACCATGCCCTTAAATTTTTCTACCTTACAGTGCACTGTCTGTCTGTCTGTCTCTTTCTCTCTCTCCCACCCTCTCTCCCTCCCTCCATCTCTCTGTCTCTGTCTCTCTCTCTCTTTTCACTATTTGCCACAGTGCATGTGGCAAGACTCTTTTCCGGTCGATTGTGCCTAGCGTAGAACTGTGAGTGACCATGGGTCCCTGGGGTATAGTTTTTACAC